GGTTGACGTTTTTTCCTAGAGGCCTCTGGAGCCAGAAAGGTTCTGAGACAGGGGCGGACTGACAACTCATGGGGACCCCAGGCAATAGGGGATCATGGGGCCCCTGTGTCCAAACTCAAAAAAGCCTATGAAAAAGGGTACCAGGGGCATCTCATGGGGCCCCCTACTGACCCCGGGCCCTCGGGCAGTGCCCGAGTTTCCAAATGGTCAGTCCGCCCCTGGTTCTAAGACACTGAGAAATAGGACATTCAGTATGGAGAATCTCTATCAGTTGATGCAAGATTTGACAAGCGAGAACTATTTGAATGTTTTCCACCCCACCCCAGTTGTGGTTTAATTTTAAGGCTGAGCAATAGGAGAGAGACCTTTAAATAGAGCACTCTGCAGTGGGATCAAGTTTAGGGTTAAGGGTTGTAAGGATAGTTTTTTGAATGTGTTATTAATATTATTTATGTATCATTATTTGTATATTATGTATTATTATTATTATTGGTTTTTTTTTTTTGTCTTTTGGTTGAACTTGATGGACATGTACCGTACCTTTTTTTTAACTAAAAAAGTGAATAAAATCTCTAGACCAGACATACTCAGCCAGGGTTCCCTGGAAATCTAGGGTTCCTCCAGAGCTACTAGGGGGTCCCTGAGCTGTGGCTGAGTGATCTGGGTCTTGGACCAACGCCACTCGGCAGAGCCAACAGCATGACACCAATTAGCTTTATATTTGTGAGAGTGGCATGCTGACTACCACTGTAAAGACAGACTTTCTTTCCACTGACCTCCGAATTATTAATTTCAGTTGGGGTTCCCTGAGATACAAAAATTATTTCAAGGTTCCTCTGAGTTAAAAAGACTGAAAAAAGTCTGCTCTAAAGAATTTTTACACCACACGTCAGGTGACCAGAAGAGTAGGACTTTACTTGTAATCGAACTGTCCTATCATTTCAGCATTCACTAAATGCCAGATTGTATCAGGAACATGAGGAGAGTTCTGGGCTGCCTAATGATTCACATTACAAAACATAAGACATTGCAATAACTTACAAAGCTGTTACCGTTAAAGTCGCCTTTTATGGATAATTTATTGCCTGGACAAAGTTTACCAACAAATAAATTGTGTTTATTACAGGGATGCAATTTATACAATTCAGTACAACATCCGGGCGTTCATGAATGTGAAACATTGGCCATGGATGAAGCTCTACTTCAAAATCAAACCACTGCTTCGAAGTGCTGAGACCGAGAAGGAGATGGCGGCAATGAAAGAGGAATTTGCCAAAACCAAAGACAGCCTGGCCAAGTCGGAGGCAAAGAGAAAGGAGCTGGAAGAGAAGATGGTGAAGCTTCTGCAGGAGAAGAATGACCTCCAGCTGCAGGTTCAATCTGTGAGTACTGAGCGGTCTGTACAGTGCTGGGAACCTGCCCATAAGCTGACTATACATTAAAGTGATACTAAAGTCTTGTTTTTTTTCTTAAAAATAAAAAACATGTCTATAATTACCTGCTCTGTGCAGTTGTTCTGCACAGAGCAGCCCAGATCCTCCTTTTCTCGGGCCCCCCTGCCGGGGCTTCTAGCCCCTCCCTGTCTGCTGTCCGGTCGCCCCATAGCGAACAGCTTCCTATGGGGGCACCCGAGCAGGTGCGCTACCGAGCCACGGCTCTGTGTGTCGATTCACACATAGAGCCGTGGCTCGGCTCGGCCCTGCCCCCTCCCTCTCCTAATTCGCTCACTAGGTTTTAATTGACAGAAGCGGGAGCCATTGGTTCCCTCTGCTGCCTCAGCCAATCAGGCTCTTGTGGACATCTTTGGATCAAGAGGGGGCTCCGGTAAGTGTTGGGGGGAGGCTGACAGAATGCATGAAGGTAAAAAACCTTGAGACTTTAGAACCACTTTAAGCAATTTTCTTGTCGAGGAAAGAAAATTGCTTGATTTCCCTATAAACCCTCCAACAGAGCTTGGCATGATTCTCAGATGTCAGAATACAACGTTCACTGTTGGCAGCTATAGCCACCAGGAGTAATCATACAAAAAATACTCACAAGGCTGGTTGTAATGAACTCGATCCATAGATGGACTGAAATTCGTATGCTCCCTCATGAACACCAAGTTAATTCAAGGATTCCTCTGTGTTGAAAAGGTTTGAGAATGGCTGATTTAGAAAATAAAATGATTTTTTACAGAACCATCCTAAAAAAGAATGTCGTAGTTGTAGTATAACAGCAGAACATCGAAACGATATAAAAACCAATAAAATATACATCAATAGCTTTTACTATATGTACATACACTATATTGCCAAAAGTATTTGGCCGCCCGCCTTTACATGCACATGAATTTTAATGGCATCACAGCCTTAGTCCATAGGGTTCAATATTGAGTTGGCCCCGCCCTTTGCAGCTATAACAGCTTCAACTCTTCTGGGAAGGCCGTCCACAAGGTTTAGGAGGGTGTCTATGGGAAGGTTGGACCATTCTTCCAGAAGCACATTTGTGAGGTCAGGCACTGATGTCGGGGGAGGAGGCCTGGCTCACAGTCTCCACTCTAATTCATCCCAAAGGTGTTCTATGGGGTTGAGGTCAGGACTCTGTGCAGGCCAGTCAAGTTCCTCCACCCCAAACTGGCTCCTCCATGTCTTTATGGACCTTGCTTTGTGCACTGGTGCGCAGTCATGTTGGGACAGGAAGGGGCCATCCCCAAACTCTTCCCACAATGTTGGGAGCATGAAATTGTCCAAAATGTCTTGGTATGCTGATGCCTTAAGAGTTCCCTTCACTGGAACTAAGAGGCTAAGCCCAACCCCTGAAAAACAACCCAAAACCATAATCCCCCCTCCACCAAACTTTACACTTGGCACAATGCAGTCAGGCAAGTACCATTCTCCTGGCAACCACCAAACCCAGACACATCCATTGGATTGCCAGACAGAGAAGCGTGATTGGTCACTCCAGAGAACACGTCTCCACTGGTCCAACTGCTCTAGAGTCCAGTGGCGGTGTACTTTACACCACTGCATCTGATGCTTTTCATTGCATTCCATGAAGCTCTCTACACACTGTTGTTGTGCTAATCTGAAGGCCACACCAAGTTTGGAGGTCTTTAGCTATTGGCTCTGCAGACAGTTGGCGTCTTCTGTGCACTGTGTGCTTCAGCATGCGCTGACCCCGCTCTGTCATGTGACGTGGCCGACCACTTGGTGGCTGAGTGGCTGTTGTTCCCAGTTGCTCCCACTTTGTTATAATCCCACTAATGAGCGTGGAATATTTAGTAGCCAGGAAATGTCACGGATGGACTTATTGCACAGGTGACAACCTATCACGGGACCACGCTTGGAGTCACTGAGCTCCTGAGAGCGACCCATTCTTTCACCAATTTTTGTAGAAGCAGTCTGCATGTCTAGGTACTTGATTTTATACACCTGCGGTCATGGAGGGGATTGGAACACCTGAATCCAATGATTTGGAGGGCGGGCCCAAATACTTTTGGCAATATAGTGGATATAAAAAACGTTCAATTAAAACTTCAAACAACACATAAAAGCCACACCCCTCTGAGGAAGCCATGGCAAAAATGCATTTAGGACTTTGCCCTGTTTGGACATTTGAGGCGCAACCAACACGAAGTCTCTGCATACCCTCTTTATACTTACTTTTGCTTACACTTCACATATTGCATGGAACATACTGAGATACTTGTGCATGAATAATTGTACTTTTTTTGCTATACCACAATTGCATGTCATTGGTCACATCATTATTTGTTACACTACTTATTTTGGAGCTCCAGCAAGTGGACAGCCTTGCAATGTGTGCTTTATTATGTGCGGGTATGTTCTTGTGGGCATGATTCACACTTTTGTTTGGCATGGTGTTCAGAGTCTGTAGTTACATCTGTGAATTATTGTGCAAGAACTCTTTGGGGTTGATTTACTAAAGGCAAATAGATTGTGCACTTTCCAAAGTGCAGTTGCTCCAGAGTTTAGTAAATGAGGTAAAGCTTCACTTTGTCAAGAATACCCAATTGCATGCAAGGAAGAAAAACCCCAGAATTTTTGCTTGCACATGATTGGGTGATGGAAGGCAGCAGAGATTCTGCTGCTCATTTACCAAGCTCTGGAGCAACTGCACTTTACAAAGTGCACAGTCTATTTGCCTTTAGTAAGTTAACCCTTGTGATAAAAGGGCACTATCTGGCAGCTCCTATGCAGGGATCTCTGCCATCATGCTGTTCGGTATTGAGGTTGTGGTTTGTAATACCTTATTATACAAGAAACCCAAGATTTTATATTTGTAGAACTACTGCCTAATTGGACTGTGAGAGTCAATGGAGGTTAATTGCTAGTAACAAGATCTGCAGGTCACACAAGTGTTCCATGCTTTTCGTTTTACTGTTTAGGATGACAATAATATTACCTGGCCCCTGGTCTGTATAGAGCTAAAGTTTTCTTTTTTAAAGTCTAGTTTGTTCTGAGAAAAAAATTAATTATCTTAAGTACTGAAGTTTTTTTCGCAATAGCAAATTGAAATGACTATTCCATGAGAGCTATACATGTGCCGGAGCTGAAGATGATTAAAACATTCTCAAAGTATTGCTGGTACTTTTTTATTTCTCCTCAACAGGAAACCGAGAATTTAACAGATGCGGAGGAGAGATGTGATCAGCTAATTAAAAGTAAAATCCAGTTAGAGGCCAAAATCAAGGAGTTGAATGAGAGGCTGGAGGATGAAGAGGAATCAAATGCTGAGCTGACTGCTAAGAAGAGGAAACTGGAGGATGAGTGTTCCGAGCTCAAGAAGGACATTGATGACTTGGAGCTGACCTTAGCTAAGGTTGAGAAAGAGAGGCATGCCACAGAAAACAAGGTATGCAAAGTATTACTCTACCAGAAATAGGCTTCCAATTTGAGAGTCTCAAGGAATGAGAATAAATTAGGCACATTGTGTGAAGCAATAACACTTTTTATATATTTTCATTTTGCTGTTAGGTTAAAAACCTTACTGAAGAAATGGCTGGCTTAGATGAAACAATTGTCAAGCTGACCAAGGAGAAAAAAAAAGGGAGAGCTCTACAGGAGGCCCACCAACAGACCTTGGATGATCTTCAGGCTGAGGAGGACAAAGTAAACTCCTTGACCAAACTGAAGATCAAACTAGAGCAGCAAATTGATGATGTGAGTGGCTAGTTATGACTGGTTGTGTTTGGGAAGGGAATTTTCTAGACCCGATTAATATATTAGAGACCAAACTTGGTACAACGCTATCAATATGTTCATATACCTCACTGAAGATTGTGCATTGAGGAACAATAAAAAGTTTAAGGAGTTCATGGTATCCCCCCTTGTGGCTGATCAGTAACCATTATGTTTAATCTGCCTGTTAGCTGCAAGGTTCCCTGGAACAAGAGAAGAAGGTCCGAATGGACAATGAGAGGGCAAAGAGGAAGCTTGAGGGGGACCTGAAACTTGCCCAGGACTCCATCATGGATTTGGAAAATGACAAACAACAAATGGATGAAAAAAACTGAAAAAGTAAAGTTTTTTTTCTCAATTTTGGTTGAAATGGGATGGGATTTAATTTTTGTTCTAGGTTTTCTTGTTTCCCTATCTTGATTGAAACATTTAGTTTTGATTTTCATTTGAATCATGTGTCACCACCCTTACGTTATCTGAAAGTTCCTAAGGAGAACCTGCTATAGGATGCATAAAGTAATTCTTTGTCTCACACTCTCTAGTTGGTTCTCTAAAAGTATATACAGTATGTAGGAGTCATTGTGATGACAACAGTAGCTAAGCAGAAAAGCTGAGCTCTAAGAACCAGACTGGTTACTAAGGGAAATGACTCAGATTTTTACTGCAGCCATGAAAATATATTAGAAATATCTCTTGTAGAGGGGGCTTAATCCTAATTTGCACAAAAAAGTTTACATTTAACATATGAAATCTCAATGAGGATTTTCTCATTAATTCAGAAAGGACTTTGAGATCAGCCAGCTGTTGAGCAGAATAGAGGACGAACAAGTGATGGGGAACCAGTTACAGAAGAAAATAAAAGAGCTTCAGGTAATCCTTATACAACTCTTCTCTTGGATATTCCACCGAGTTAAAGTACAAACAAATAGAAAAAGAAGGAGGAAAGATTGTTATCTATTTATTTCAGGTACTTATATAGCACCGTCAATTTACGCAGCGCTTTACATATATATTGTACATTCACATCAGTCCCTAGCCCTCAAGGGGCGTACAATCTAAGGTCCGTAACTCACATTCATATACAAGGGCCAATTTAGACAGGATCCAATTAACCTACCAGCATGTCTTTGGAGTGTGGGAGGAAACCGGAGTACCTAGAGGAAACCCACGCAGGCACAGGGAGAACATGCAAACTCCAGGCAGGAGGTGCCGTGGTTGAACCAACGACCCTAGTAGTGCCAGGCGGAAGTGCTAACCATTTAGCCACTGTGCTGCTCATAATCTACCGTATTTAGGAATGATTTATCTGTAACACCATAAAGAAAGCACCGCTCCAAGCTTCTGTGAAAGTACTACCTAGTGACTCCAAGCTATGAGTATAGTGCCACTGCTCCAAGTTGAGCCCGTCAAGCTCAGTTATACAAACATCCAATAAGAGAGAACGGAGCCGCACACATGTCAGCCTAGTGATGCTGGATATGGAAGATCGGCTTCAGCTAGCCTCCTCCCATAGACACCCCCTCTGACCCATTTCATCCTACTATGGGTTTAATCAAAGAGGCCAGCACCACCTCTACAATTAAGCCTGTTGGAGGGTAAAAGGCATCACTATGGCGTGGCCTGTATGTGACAATGTGTATTACAGACATTTAGTAAAATTCATAATCATTATTGTGAATAGTCGATATTCTGATAAACTATCTGGTGGCAGCTAAACTGATGTGTATCAGGTTAACTGTGTACTTACCTAGACCTAGTAACAATCACTCTGTCTGCTGGCACTTAGACTGTGGTCCCATGAGCTGGAAAATCTTTGTGCAGTGTGAGGCTGAGAGTGTCATCTTCACGTATTGGTAACAGTGCGGTGTGAGATTGACCACCATTTTTCACAGGCTGATAAAGGTGGCCAAGGTCTGACACTGTGTTTAACACACTTGTCACCAGGGGCGGACTGACAACTCATGGGACCCCCGGGCAATAGGGGATCATGGGGCCCCTGTGTCCTTGCCCAAACTCAAAAAAGCCTACGAAAAAGGTACCAGGGGCATCTCATGGGGTCCCCTACTGACCCCAGGCCCTCGGGCTGTGCCCGAGTTTCCAAATGGTCAGTCCGCCCCTGCTTGTCACTTACTCTGAACTGAACAGAGGAATACCCTTCTTCACAGCTATCTTCTGTAATCTATCAGTTGCACTTGGAAATGACGGGATCCAGGCACCTTTGTAGTCCATATCAGGAGAGCAGCCTAGGGTGACAACCATGTATTCCTCCATAGGCAGAGTAGAGGGGTTACATAGACACCCAGGGACAAGATGTGTGTTCTTTGCAAAATTGCCTGGTAAAAATAAATCAAAAGAATGCAGCCACCATACCAAGCACTAGTTATCTGTAACATAAAATATTTTTGATTTTGGTTTAGATATACTTTAATCGATGATACATCATTTTTACTACTGTATCTTTTCCTTACCTAACCACATGCTGGGTCTTCATGTCCATTTTTGTTGCTATACAGCTGACAAAAACATTCATAATCTATTCCTGCAAGAGGAGGTCATCTAAAGCCAAACCATGACCTAGGTTCCTTATAGCATGTAGTCTTCTCTCTGTATTGCTCTATGGCAGTGGCCATGGTTTAGTCTTGATATAACAGTCTTTCTCAGGAAAGAGGATGTTTTTTTCCTCCTTACAATTCCTACTATTAGGAATTTCCACCAGTGTTTTAAGGGTCAATGATCAGGTTTACATTTACTAACTTCCCCATGGCAAAGATAAGCCATTAGGTATCCTACGTAAACATACCTCCTCTTTCAGGTTCTCACACAGCTATTACAGCTGATGGAATTAACTCTCCATTTCCCCAAGAACCACCATACAGATCACTGATGACAAGGCCTCCATCACAATGCTAGCACTGTAGCCCCCCAGTGAGTGTACAACATTATGTTTTGGTGGCTTTTTCATTGACCATCCCTGATCAAAGGCGGGTGCTCTTGAATAATATTGAGTTGCCGTATCTTGTGGGTAACACAAAGCTCAAGTGCAGCACATCCTGGAGAACCTTCTTCCCTCCTAGGTCCCGTGTGCACAGGCTTTTGTTCAGAATTGCTTTTCTCCATAAATAAGTCAATGGGAATGCAAACCCAACTTGAGGCAGCTTATAAAGAGATCAGCTACAAGTCCAAAGCCTCAGTGAAGGAACTTGGATTTAACTCTGAGGCAACTAAAATGAAGTTGAAAACAAGTTTTGGGCACCTAAAAGCAAGTTGCTTTTGCCCATCTACACAGCCCTAGAGTGGCTATCAAATCAGAACAACAGCTACATAGTTTTAACAGAAACAGGTTTGTGGTAGGGTAAAGAGTCCTGTTCCATGATACCCTTTTCTACTTTAAGTTTATTTGTCTTATAACTGATTTTAGTTCTGATGTTCTAAATGGGTATTTAAATGACAGGCTCGAATTGAGGAGGTGGAAGAGGAGATAGAATCAGAGAAAGCGACCCGTGCCAAGGCGGAGAAGCAGAGGTCTGAGTTGTCAAGGGAGCTGGAGGAGATCAGTGAGAGGCTGGAGGAAGCTGGAGGAGTCACAGCCACACAGATTGAGCTCAATAAGAAGAGGGAGACAGATTTTCAGAAGATGCGCCGGGACCTGGAGGAGATGTCTCTACAGCATGACGCCATGGTGGCGGCTTTACGCAAAAAGCAAGCAGATAGCGCTGCTGAGTTCGGGGAACAGATCGACAACCTGCAGAGGGTAAAGCAGAAGCTGGAGAAGGAGAAGAGTGAGATGAGGATGGAGAATGATGACATCAATGGCAACCTAGAGAATGTCACCAAATCCAAGGTTGGTCACTTGAAATGTGAGCCGCAGGCTAATCCTCTGACTCTGCAATGTGCCCTGTTTATCAAAGGGTCCTCCAAAGTAAATGATGAACTATCCTTACTGACACCATTGACCAGTCTGCTTTCCATTCTTTCTCTAGCACACTATGTAAAAATAAAAATGACAATATAAATGGATAACGTATTAACAACTCATCTTTCAAACACTTTGATAAATAGGATCCAATAGTTTTTCTCATGACGTATCTTAGTTTCTCCAAGAATGAATTAACCCTCTCACCTCAAAGAAGGCTTTTGTTCAGTCATTTATAGCCTATTATGATCTAGTGAAGACTGATTAGTCCTGGATCATATTTTCATAAACATTAAAAAAAAAAAAAAAAATCATAGTACAGGTCTGTTATGATCCAGTCGGGGGGGGGGGGGGAGGTCTTTTTGGAACATACATAACATTTTACCATTACAGTGTCAAAGGAAAGCCAAATGTTTAATCTGTATACCTTCACAGTGGAGGTCAATTAACTCCTTGGTGCGTTTTCACAGAACACCAAATAAATATGTGTATTTTATTTCCTTTTCTGGAAAATTGATTAATTTATAATTCCCATCCAGTGGAGTTCACCATTATAAAACTTCATGCAAGAGCTTTATTCTAGAATATGGAAAATGTTTATTTTATTATGTTACTGGTTCTGCTAGGTGTAAAGTGTCCATGTTTGGTCTCCTTCATAGCAGAACAACAGCTGAAACCCTTTTCCTTACTTTCAGATTCATAATTTATGACTTGACACTGTTATGAGTGTTTAAAGATTTTGATAACCAAAATCCTACCCATGCTAATTTGGTAAGATGCAACGGTCAGCCTGTTCTATCACATTGGATAGTCTGGGTGGGTTGAGATACACATTCAATTTTTGGTCTATCTGAAGGGTCCCATCTACGTGGGAGGTATTATCCTCGCATTTCAGCAGGAGAATACTTTTTATGTAAGATGTCCATCTGTTTTATGTTTGCTTTTGTGTGTCTTACTTTTTAACTTGTTTTTTTTTAATCAATGCATTATGAGACTATATGTAGTGTCCAGCAAAACCTGCTGGTGAGTAACATTGTATGCAGAATGTTTTATTTAGCAGATACAGCTTTCAGGCATTGTGTAATATCTCCATTCATTGTGAAGTTGGTCTAAGTGATGGTATAGGGTGTTATATTTCAATAAATGTGTGACTAAGAATTCTACATTTTGTTTTAAATTCTAGGCCAACTTGGAGAAGATGTGTCGTACTCTGGAGGACCATCTCAGCGAATTCAAGTCTAAGGCAGAGGAGAACCAACGGACCGTGGCAGAACTGACCATGCAGAGAGCTCGCCTGCAGACTGAGTCTGGTGGGTGTCATGCTGTGAGCTCCTCTGGGGCGTAGAACTGAATACATTTTACACATTACAGGCATACGGTCTGTGCTAGGGGGACAAGCTTCTTCCAGCCTGTCTGATTTAAACAAAAATACTGAACTTAGAGCTAAGGTTTAGAGTTGAGGTGTTAGGACTGTTAGAGATAGGGTGGTTGGGTTAGTGTGCTAGAGTTGGGGTGTTAAGGTTCTGCCCTCCATGCATGGATCGAAATTCTCCCGGTTCAGCAGGGCCTGGGGTCGGTAGGGGGCCACATGAGATGCCCCTGGTACCTTTTTCATAGGCTTTTTTGAGTTTGGGCAATGACACAGGGGCCCCATGATCCCCTATTGCCCGGGGGCCCCATGAGTTGTCAGTCCGCCCCTGAGCCTGTTGTTTTTTTTCTGATCGGTCAGTGCAGCCGGCTATAGCTCCCTGCCATCAGAACACAATAGTGGGGAGTTATTCCCCCATCCACCTCAAATATGTGGATGGGGGAATTGGGTAATTTTTTTTCGTTCACCCTGCTGGCTGAATGAAAAAAGAATGATTAATAAATGGACTGTCTAAGGGTTGTGTAAAACAAAAACACAGCAGCACTCTGGGTTAAGTAATTAAAGTAGAAAAATGATTTAACCGATTGAAGAATGGAGTGTATTGTTGCAACATTTAGAAATGTATGCCTTAAAAAGATGAGTTTATTTATTACAGGTACTTATATAGCGCCATCAATTTAAGCAGCACTTTACATATATATTGTACATTCACATCAGTCCCTAACCCTCATGAGGTGTACAATCTAAGGACCCTAACTCACATTCATACATACACATACTAGGGACAATTTTAGACAGGATCCAATTACCCTACCAGCATGTCTTTGGAGTGTGGGAGGAAACCGGAGTACCCAGAGGAAACCCACACAGACACGGAGAACATGCAAACTCCAGGCAGGTGGTGCTGTGGTTGCGATTTGAACCAACGACCCTAGTACTGCCAGGCAGAAGTGCTAACGTTTTAGCCACTGTGCTGAGTAATAATAAAAATGAGAACATAATACAAATAAGATCTCACTGGACAAAGACAGAAGCTCACTCTCAGTTGTATTTGAAAAGTAAGTTTGGATTCAGTTCCATCCTCTACCTACAGCCAATACACAATACAGATGTTATATGACAGTTTCAAAACTCTACATGGCTTTATCCTTCTTTAATAGGGTAACTTTGTGTTGGCTTTTATTTGAAAAGTTTTACCATCCTACTTGGCTGTGGCTCCTTTCGCTATAATGTGTCTCAATGGAAGAAACATTCTCCAATTCGACCTCAAGATGGCACTGTGGTAGCTTACATGCCATAGGTCATATTTGTCAAAAAGTCAAACTTTGCTTGACTATGATTACAGAACAATAGACTGATCCAACTGTCAACTGAAATAAAACAATGGTATCTATGTTACCATTGTATCCAGTGCATTTGTTGAGAAGTATCCCCTCAAACAAACTTCAAGAAACTTGATGTCTGTCTCCAAGACAGACTCTTCCCTGTAGTCTGAGGAAATCAGTACACATATACTCAGGAACGTGTTGGAACTCCCTTGCTCAAGCCATCTATTCCCTCCTCGTTACTACCACTTGTAAACACAGAAGTCTGGCTTCCACAAATCAGATCTCCTGAGCAGCTCCCACTGAAAAGGGGAAAAGGGAGATGCAGGTGCCTGGGGTGCAGTGCAGATACTGGCACCCTTGATGGATGATCTCCCTGCAAATGAGAAAGGCGGAGCCACCTACAGTGTGCGAGAAGGTACTAGAGCCAGCTGGGTGCTTCAGCTTAATACATAGTTATCAACATTTGAAAAAGTTTTTAGGGACACTTCTTTTTCTTTGTGGCAGGAAAGCCTTTATAGGCAGGGCATTACTTTACTTAGGGGTGGAGCATTCATATTTTATGGGCGTGGTTATAGCCAAAAAGTTTGGTGTGGTTTAAAATATGCCACGTATTGGGCATGGCTTTAACAGGGTGTGGTTAAATAGAGTTTGAGATTACTTACATAGTGGAGAATGTGGCAATGTTAAATAGGGAATGTACAGTGCAGAACAAGGGAGGATGGAGATGACTGTGTGTGTGTGTGCAGGTTGGGAATGACTGGATGGAGGTGTGTGCAGGATGTAGATGTTTGTGTGTGTGCAGGATGGAGATGACAGGATGACAGGTGTGCATGTAGGATGAGGATAACTGGATGGAGGTGACTGGATGGAGGTGACTGTGTGTGTGTAGGATGGAGATGACTGGATGGAGGTGACTGTGTGTGTGTAGGATGGAGATGACTGGATGGAGGTGACTGTGTGTGAGCAGGATGGAGATGACTGGATGGAGGTGCTTGTAGGATGGAGATGACTGACAGCCATCCCCACCAAATAGAGACCCCAAATGGATGCTGCTTGCTCCTTCCCAAACAAAAAAACAACACAGAAAGAGACCCTTAGCCATCATGATCTCCCCCCCCCCCAGAGATATGGAGATACAAGGACAGGAAGCAGCACTAACATGCCCCCAGTCGAGTCCACTGCAGTCTCACACATGTTGCCAGTGTCCTGGAGATCCAAGATTAGGGCAGGGGCAGCAGCAGATAGCAGTTCCTTATTCTGTAAGAACCTAGAGTAGTTAAAAGATTAAAAATGTCCTGGCTTACCTGGGGGGGGGGGGGGGGGGGGTCATAGTTGAGTTCCTGCACCTATTTTCTGAGAAAACAAGCCCTATGTGTGTATATATATATATGTATGTATATATATATATATATAAAGCGTAACACAAACATCAGCAGGGTGTTACATACATTCTACAGTCACAAGTATGTGGAACCAACCCACTCCAATTTACTGAGTTCAATAGAGGGCACTGTTTATAATACAGCATACAAAGACATTTTAGACAATTGTGAGCTTTCAAACCTTGTGCAAACAGTTTGGGGAAGACCTTTTTTCTTCCTGCTTGAAAGTACACCTGTGCACAAAGCCAGTCCAGACATGGTTTGGTGTGGAGAAACTTGGGTGGCCTGCACAAAGCCCTGACCTCAACCCTACTGAACACCTTTGGAATGAATTGGATTCCCAATGCAATAGCCTTCTTTAAAAAGTGGAGGCTATTGTACATTTAGCACAAACATGCTAGATGGAGTTTGGTTAACTGATTCATTAGCTGGCTCTTGTATCTCTTAGGAACTCAACTGGTAAGATCTCTCTACCGTACATGTTCTGTGTAACTTTTTAGCACAGACATTAAAATATCAGTTAATGTTAAGCAGTTATCTGTGTAATTTTGAATGCAGGGGAGATTGCTCGTCAGTTGGAGGAGAGGGAGGCTCTTGTCTCACAACTTTCCAGATCCAAACAAGCCTTCACCCAGCAGATTGAAGAGCTGAAGAGGATGATGGAGGAGGAGGTGAAGGTAAGATCGGGCCTTAGGCTGGAACGCCCCTCTCACCAGATCTTTACTCTCATTCTAATGTCTCCTTTTATTTACTTCTCAGGCAAAGAATGCTTTGGCTCACAGCTTGCAGTCCTCACGCCATGACTGTGACCTTCTCAGGGAGCAGTATGAGGAGGAGCAGGAGGCCAAGGCAGAACTACAGCGATCGTTATCCAAGGCCAATGGTGAAGTGGCTCAATGGAGGACTAAATATGAAACAGACGCCATTCAGCGCACAGAGGAGCTGGAAGATGCCAAGTAAGTAGCAGCTACTATTTCAGCAGACTTAATGTAAAACCATTTATAACATTTACTCGTGTACATATTGCAGAGCGGTTCTGGAGATAAAATATACTGAATAAGACTTGTCAAAAGTCTTCAGGGTGGATATTTATTGTAGGATTCAATAAAAAAAAATGACGGCTGTGATGAACACATTTCCCCCTTTGATCAACTAGTGTGAAGTTCAGTTCTGGAATGTATAACATGAAAAACAGCGCAAAAATTAAATAAAAAATAATCACAAATAAATAAATGTCCGTACAAAAAAAAAAAATATATATATATATAATAATTCAAACATAAGTCGTTATTCCCAATTCCCAAAAGGATTTTCAAGAAAATGTTCCAAAATGTGCTTCCACCTAATCACCATGTGACAAATAATATTGACCGCACTCACCAGATGGAGGTGAGTAATAAGCCTCATAGGATATAAGGGATCCTATAGCCCCTCCAAAGGAACTCAAATCTCCTTCTTCACCCTGCATAGATACAGCAATCGACTCCACTCTACTTCTCCATGGAATCCTCAATAATGTGCAAGGAAAGAAAGGCTACATAGTGTAATACTGCCACTCAATACCATATAAATCGATAGAATAAGGACACTCACATGTTTCAATAAAATAACAGGCCTTGTTTAATAGCCTCAAAGGCTTCAAAGGAACAAGTTTCCAAATTGTAAATATAGGGATCTCACGCTTTAAGAATCACTGTAGAGGATGACCAGCTTTCCACCTCTAAGATGGCCGCTTGAACCGCAAAAGTCGGCGTGCGTTCCAAATACCGGAAGTGACATTGGCCAAGATGACGGCGGACCGGAAGTAAGTCAATGCGTTTCGCCCCACCCACAGGGCGTTCTCAGTTCTGGAATGTGTCCAAACATGAACCTTCAAAATACAAATACATATTAGATTATCTGTATAAAATTATTTGCATCAGCTCATAAGGATTGGGGAATTACTGCTTAAGAAAATGATAGCAGACAATGTTGTTGCTTTTGAAGTCTTCAAAAAAGGAAGCCATAACAATTTGTTGGTTAGATGTGCTGATAACGCCATGTGACCAATGACTGAGGGTCAACAGTGAATGAAAAGCCTGTGACCAGCATGTGTCTACCTGGCTGAACTAATCCTGAACTACCATAAGAAAAGTAAACCAGATATTCTTAATTGTGTGTAATCATTAGCAGCATATCAAAAGGCTTAAACTTAATTCTGTAAATCACATATAAGAGGTTTTGGCACTTGAGCTCTGCTTTTGGCTGATCATTGTGTCCATCAGTCCATCGGTGACCTGGACTAGTAACTATGACTGTTGTTTTATGTGCCACAGAAAGAAGCTGGCCCAGCGCCTTCAAGAAGCTGAGGAACATATTGAGGCAGTAAATTCAAAGTGTGCCTCTCTAGAGAAGACGAAACAAAGGCTGCAAGCGGAGGTAGAGGACTTGATGATTGACGTGGAGAGGGCTAATTCACTGGCAGCTGCTCTGGACAAGAAACAAAAGAACTTTGACAAGGTGACTATAAAAAGAGTGGGCGGAGGAGATTCCAGAAGGTTTGGAGAAGGGAGTTTGCCAAAAAGCATGTTGGTGTGGTTGGGATGGTCTCTTTTAATGCTGGCACCAGGGGCGGACTGACCATTTGGAAACTCGGGCACTGCCCGAGGGCACGGGGTCAGTAGGGGGCCCCATGAGATGCCCTGGTACCTTTTTCATAGGCTTTTTTGAGTTTGGGCAAGGACACAGGGGCCCCATGATCCCCTATTGCCCGGGGGCCCCATGAGTTGTCAATCCTCCCCTGGCTGTCACAATGTCTCAGCTATGACCATCTCACAAGAGGGTACAGCTGACCCTTTATGGCATCCTTCTGTGGCCAGTAATATCGAAGTATCCCATAATATCAGGGGTGGAAGGTACTAGGGATAATTTGAACTCCTGATCTTTTACATTTAAACAGTCCAATACTATGGTCATAAATCGTGATATCATCTAGATCTCCTTCGGGGAAATACGGAGGATGAAATACATAATTACCATAACTGAAAAATTGGAATTGTCTTTCTTACTTCCATTAGATCCTGGTTGAGTGGCGGCAGAAGTATGAGGAGTCACAGTCTGAGCTTGAGTCTGCCCTGAAAGAATCAAGATCTCTGAGCACTGAGCTGTTCAAGATGAAGAATTCCTACGAGGAAACTTTAGACCAATTGGAGACCATTAAGCGGGAGAACAAGAACCTCCAACGTGAGTGTTAGCCAATAAGAAAAAATACTAGAACTGGAAGGGAACTGCTTCAGTCTGATTCTAGCAGTCATGACCCTGGTCTGCTATATGACTGTATGTGCCAAGAACGAAAACCAGGATGCTTAACTTTTTCTTCAAAAATGTTTTTAAGTTTTCTTCCATTTTGTTTGTATAATATGCAGAAACACAGAAAACTTCTAGCTTCCTTGGCTTTAGTTCAGCAATATTGTGTTATGTAATCTTTGGATGAACTTCTTTTCATTTCTACATTTGTGTGACAGACTAGCAATATGAAAAGGTAAACATTATTTTTCACATTTAATAAAGTAGCACACAGCACTATAACTAGATTTCACCCTTTTGCTGGTCTGTTGATTTTTGTGATCTCTTCACATTGCCCATTTGTGAGCTTTCCCCTGACTAGTCTGTGCTATGTTTCAGAGGAGATCACAGACTTGACAGAACAAGTGGCCACCAGCGGGAAGACTATCCATGAGCTGGAGAAAGCCAAAAAGCAGGTGGAGATGGAGAAAAGTGAAATGCAAGCATCTCTGGAAGAAGCTGAGGTATCATTTTTTAATGAAATACCCAAAAACCTGTATATGCACCAGACTAACCATCTGATCATCTCTACTATCTAACTGTTATTGGTTCCTTCTAATTACCCTCTTACAGGCAACACTGGAGCATGAGGAGGCCAAGATCCTTCGTATCCAGCTGGAACTGACACAAGTGAAAGCTGACATTGACAGAAAGATCGCTGAGAAAGATGAAGAGATTGACCAGCTGAAGAGGAACCACCAGAGATCAATGGAAACCATGCAGACAGCCTTGGACTCTGAGATAAGAAGCAGGAATGAGGCAATCCGAATCAAAAAGAAGATGGAAGGTGACCTTAATGAAATGGAGATACAACTGAGCCACTCCAACCGCATTGCTGCAGAAGCTCAGAAATACTTGCGCAATGTCCAAGGACAACTTAAGGTACTTGATTTGATCAATGAGTATAGACTAAGTTCACAAGCATATGGGGCAGAATAGTGTTTCACAGGTCTATTTTCACCTCCAACAATACCTCAAGTGGTGGGGTTTGGAGCCCAGACAACAGATAGGGAAACAAGGTGAGTCTGACAGTACAAAGTTCTCTGTCCTTCTGATGCTCACTGACCAAACACATGGCTGGAATGTTCATACACACCTGACCAGCACAAAATGTTCTTCTGCCACAGGCCAAATGCAGATTTAAGATACAGAAAATCTTGAGTTCTCCTTAGTAAAGGACACATATATAAAAGAGGTGCAAATCTCCCATAATATGTGCTGTCTTTTCCAGTTTTAATGACTAAATTGACTGGCAGCAAATCTTTTTGCCAGCACAAAGCCCTAAAATAATTTTAAACCACGTACAGTAAGTGGCTACTTACAGCTAATCACCACAATCCTCTTCAATGTAACTTCAGGAAACATTTATAATGCACAGGCCATGTACGTTTTAATCTAACAATAGCAAATGCCAGATTAGAATCCTATCTAAGATCCTAGATAAGTGTGTACACACTTTGATCCATAAATCTTTGATACTCAAAGCTTAGAAGTCTTCAAGTCCCCTTCTCTTGCAAAAGCCAAAAAACTTTAGGCAAGTAATCAAAGTTCTCTCAGCCATCAGTGAGCCAGAAGTACTAAACATGGAGTGTGACCTATAAAGCAACCAGTCTGTCTGCTCTTCCTTCCATAGGATACTCAAATCCACCTCGATGATGCTCTCCGTGGACAGGAAGATCTGAAGGAGCAGCTCGCCATAGTTGAACGTAGAAATAACTTGATGGTGGCAGAAATCGAGGAGTTGAGAGCAGCTCTAGAACAGACCGAGAGGTCCAGGAAGATAGCGGAACAAGAGCTTCTAGATGCCACTGAACGTGTCCAATTGCTGCATTCTCAGGTTGGGCTGGAAAGAAAATATTGCATTGTACTATAGCTGAGACAACAGATTGTGATTAGAAGTAAAAACAGGACATGGGGAAACCTGGAATGTGTCTACCTACACTCATTTTAGGGCAGGACAGCATGGGCCAGCAGGCCTACAGAGAGGACGTGGGGTGAGTGATGAACCTTATTACAAAGAACTGCTGAATGGACTAAGAGGAAGAATTTAATTTTGTAAATACATACTGTATCTCTCAAAACCAATATTTTCCTCCAGTGTACAATGGTGGAGCATCTCTATGATATATCCTCCCTCTATTTCTGAATCTGGGAGGGGTAATATTATGCAAATTCAGTAATAAATTAGCCTAGACCACACCTGCTTTCACCTAGCTGGAAGTGGGTGGAAGATGTACTGTCTTTGCCCCACTCCACCATTGATATATATGACATTCTGAGTAGTAGCAGTAGCACACATCACCTAATATTTCACCTCTTTCACATGTGCTAACTCAAAGAGACATGGGGAAACCATAAAGAGTGTATATTATTTAACAAAAAGGCTGTTTTCTCCAAAACGGAATAAAAAAAGGAACTTTGTTTTGTGGCTATATGCAGAGTTTCATAAGAATGTAAATCTAGCTTCAGCCACGAGGGACCGATATATAGATTTTAATGCAGAGCCTACAGCAGAGCACCAGAAGAGGCAATTCCATGTGCACCTAGACCGGCATTGCACTTTTTTCATGCTGCTGCTTATCTAGTATGCTATAGTCAAGTCAACCATCGTGCTGAATCAGGTAGTATAACTCGAGCTGAGACCATGTTAGAACCACCAAGGGCCCCATCTGCCACATTCCAGCAAATATTTTAATGCTTTGCTGACTTACATAGCTCAGAAAACATTTTCTAATATATCCAGCTGCAGAACTCTGCAAGTAAGTGCTTTTGTCGTGAGCTACAGGCCAGATCTACAGTAGAACAGGGTTTCTCAACCAGGGTTGCTAGGGGTTCCTTGAGCAATTTCTGCCTCTCAAATAAGTTCCCACTGACACCATTGATTTTTTTTAGCTATCCATAAGGGAGTATTTCTTCCCAGTGACCACAAGTATAAGGAGCATTCTTCCCACTAACCATCACGCTAATATATTATGAGTTGTAGATATATTTTTTAACAGGGGTTCCCTGAGAATGGAAAGTTATTTCAAGAGTTCCTCTGTGTTGAAATGTTTATGAAAGGCTACAGCAGAACAAAAGCAATTCCTTAAACTAACTGGGAGCTACAAAGACATAGGAAGATGGTCTCATGGGTACCAAATATCACACAAATTTCAGTTGCTTGGCTTAGTCGTTCAGTTTAGGGTTATATTGGATAGTGAATCCTTCATTTGATCCATTTCTTATTCCAATAGAACACAAGTCTTATCAACACCAAGAAGAAACTGGAGAGTGATGTGTCACAGCTTCAAGGAGAGATTGAGGACACCACCAAGGAGGCTCGCAATGCTGAGGAAAAGGCCAAGAAGGCCATTACTGATGTAAGAGTTTGATTCTAATACTCACCAATAAATGTTCATGAACCTCAAAAAGAACTATTAACAGACATAATATAACAAGACATTGGATAACTGCTTTGATTATAAATGGTGGAAGTTCTGAGGTCTTCTGGTTTCTAGGCTGCTATGATGGCAGAAGAGCTGAAGAAAGAGCAAGATACCAGCTCTCACCTGGAAAGGATGAAGAAGAACTTGGATCAGACTGTGAAGGACCTTCAGCTTCGTCTAGAAGAAGCTGAGCAGTTGGCACTTAAAGGAGGGAAAAAGCAGCTCCAGAAATTGGAGGCCAGAGTGAGTGTCTTCCCAACCTTCAAATAGCATTAACAATGCAAACCTTCTTAAGTTTAGGAAGACATATACACGCTGCTACATCCATTTCAGAGATCCAGACAACTCTTTCCTTTCAATGTATTTTTTTTTTATTAGCTACTTACATTATCCTAACCAATATGCCAAAGACTTTCCTGCTAGTCTCACTAATAATGGGCTCCATTATCTTCTACTCTAATTTATAAAAAATATGTTTACACATATGTCAAGAAGAACTCATGTACGCCATGCAGAACTTTAGAAATGCTTTTCAAAGTTTTAAATCCACAACATATTCAACAGATTAGAACTGTGAACATTTTCATTTGGTTCTGTTTTCCCATAAATTTATTATTTAATTGATCGCTCCAGGTGAGGGAACTGGAGACAGAGCTGGATCTGGAGCAGAAGAGGAGTGCTGATGTTATTAAAGGTATTCGTAAATATGAGAGGCGTGTCAAAGAGCTATCGTTTCAGGTACATATTGATACTAATGGGATTGTGTTACTTTTTCCTTTTGAATATAGCAGTTAACTTGATCTTTTACGGCAGGCTGAAGAGGACAGAAAGAATAATCTCAGACTTCAAGATCTGGTGGACAAACTGCAGATGAAAGTGAAATCCTACAAGAGGCAGACTGAGGAGGCGGTAAGTTCGAGTGGGACACCTGGCCCTTACCGTGCACTCACTTAGATGGGGTTTAAACAATTTAATCATTTTATTACTAAATTCTGTAATTACACAAAATCCCTGAAGATTCATGTGGCTACTGAACAGCATTGCTGAATGATAGAAGTTGCTTCAACTGTGCCATGTCAGTTGGGTCCTGGGTGTGAAATACAGTGCAATAAGTCACAAAAACACCCAATACTCATAGTAGTAGAGGCCAAGTTCCCCTCAAAAAGTTCAGATTTCCCAGGATACATTTCATATATTGCTGACACTGAATATCTTCTTACCCTTTGACCAGGAGGAACACTCTAACACCAACTTATCGAAGTGTCGCCGCGTCCAACATGAACTGGAGGAGGCAGAAGAAAGAGCGGATATTGCTGAATCACAGGTTAATAAGCTACGACTGAAGACTCGGGAGACCATCACCACCAAGGTAAGTCTCCTCCATATTGTACTGTCATGGTCTGGAGTCACGCTTGGAGTCCAGTAGCTATAGCAGTAGAGAGGCTTCCACTGACCAGAAGGATAGGCATACAAGCAAGTCACCCTGACAGATGATGTGTGCTTACCCAAGGTGTGGAGGTCTAAGCACCAGAGCTCCTGATGGTGGAGATGGGTTTTGCTGTCTGTTAATACTAGGTTGTCGTCCTCAGGTTTGTACCACCAGGAGGTGAACAAGCCAGGGTGCAGTAGCAGATATAGCAGGAAGGAATTAAGCAGAAGCATAGGTTGGGATCAAGCATAAGTAAGTCGAGGAACAAGCCAAAGGTCAGAAACGAGTGGTAGCAAAGATATGGATGGCTTCAGAAGTGATGAGATATTGCAAGAAGTGCAAAGGCATGGTTTTAATAGGAAGTTCATGGGGGGAGCAAAAAGTTCAAGGTTCGCAAGAAACACGGAACAGGACAAAATTGTCTAATGCAGGGGTGTCAAACTGGCGGCCCTCCAGCTGTTGCGAAACTACAAGTCTCACCATGCCTCTGCCTTTGGGAGTCATGCTTGTAACTGTCAATCTTGCAATGCCTCATGGGACTTGTAGTTTGGCAACAGCTGGAGGGCCACCAGTTTGACACCCGTGGTCTAATGGATCAGAGAGGAAGCAGTCTAGCACGTCAAGTGGCTCAGCAATTAGAGTTACTTCTACACACAGCCGAGGTCTTCAGCAATGGATTTATGAAAGAACTTATAGGCAGTCATATCTCCAGGGCTATTTCTGAGCTGGATAAACAACATTTCTTGTAAATCTTGGTCAGTTCTAGGTAATCAGTTATGTATGTATGTTAGGAGTTAGTAACATTATAACCATATGATTACATAGCAAAGTATATGGGCCATCACGAATGGTACTAGCCGACACTTTGTGGCCTACCATGGTCACTCCAGTGCCCAACTGCTGACTCTGGGTTAGAGAAATGTTTAACATACTATGGGCTGCCAGGCACTAGATGGAGTGGGGTGATCTATATTACAGAAGTATAAAAGTGTAATTCAGCGAGCGCTAAAATGGAATAGAAGCAGCAAATCCACTAAAAGGAAACCTTAAAACCCTCTAAAAAATTGTAAAACATACAGTGCAGCGCTAATGAAATAATATATACATATGAATGCCTGAGATTCGGCGTTAAACGCATAAATTTAAGTTCTATAGTGCTCTTTACGCAATTGTAATAAAGAAAGTGACTCTAATATTCCCAATAAGGCACAAAAACAGTGTCGCGCAGGAAATGATAAAATTGCGCACTCACCAGATGCGCAATTAATAAGCGCAGTAATCAAAACCAGAGGTCCCCTCTGTCCTGGAAAGGTGCAGCTCGCAGTAGGTGGGCTTTCAGTCACAAATGGGCAGTAGGATGACGCCTCTAAAGGTGTGGGCTGCGGTAGGGGTCAGCAATTAAATCACTCTCCTCTGGGCCTTAGGGATGGTCACCAATGGATCCTGGGGAGTTAGATGGTCGGTGTGGAGCAAAAAATAGTTTCCATAGTGTAGTATGTCAAAATAGTAAATATTTTATTAATGGATCAAAATTATGAAATCTAAAATAGCAAACACACATTTAAAATTCAATAAGCCTTTGCCAATAGGTAAATATCATGTACAGCGGAAACCGCTAAGATCACTAACCAGCTGGGTAGTTGTGTGGCCACCGGACCTCCGTGATCTGGTGGCGTGACATCACAGGCGTGTGTGGCTCCTCCTTGACGTGTTTCGTACACCTAGTACATTGTCAAAAGGGGTGATGCCATAGCCACTTTATTACAATTTCGTAAAGAGCACTATAGAACTTTTATATACAATTTCATACTGCTACTGGACTTTATAATTTATGGTCTTATTATATTTATGTGTTTAACGCCGAATCTCAGGCATTCATATGTATATATTATTTCATTAGCGCTGCACTGTATATATTACAGAAGTGTCATCTTCAATCAGCCAGAGGCTCTTTTGGAGAAAGATGAGTCCTGAATAGATGCTGAATCTCCAGGCAAAGAGGGATATTATTATGTGAGACCAAGAGGAATGAATGGGGGTGAAGCTAATTATTATTATTATATTATTATACAGTATTTATAAAGCGCCAATAGTTCACTCAGCGCTGTACATTACAGAGGGGGACAGAACATGTGACAGATTAATACCAATACAATGCAAAACATGAGGGGATCGAGGGCTCTGCTCTTTCGAGCTTACAATCTAGGAGGGAGGGGATGGTGGCACAGGAGGAGATAGCTGTGGGGGATGGAGTGGTAGGAAGAGTGTGAGGAGGTCGGCAAGTTAGCAGGGGGTGGGGTAGGCTTCCCTGAAGAGGTGGGTTTTCAGGGTGCGCCTAAAGGAGAGGAGAGTAGGTGATAATCTGATGGGTTGGGGCAGGGAGTTCCAGAGGATGGGTGACACCCTGGAGAAGTCCTGGAGGCGGGCATGGGAGGAGGAGACCAGGGAACTAGAGAGAAGGAGGTCTTGTGAGGAGTGGAGTGTGCGGGTTGGGCGGTACTTGGATATCAGGTCAGTGATGTAGTTTGGGCAGTATGGTGGACAGCTTTGTACGTCAGTGTTAGGATTTTGAATTTGATCCGTTGCACAATCGGAAGCCAGTGGAGGGATTGGCAGAGGGGGGTGGCTGAAACGGAGCGGTTGGAAAGGTGAATGAGTCTGGCAGCCGTATTCAGGATGGACTGAAGCTGGGATAGCCAGCGGCGAGGCAGGCCAGTGAGGAGGGAGTTGCAGTAGTCGAGACGTGATATGATGAGGGAGTGGATGAGCTGTTTAGTGGTTTCTGGGGTTAGGAACGTGCGGATTTTGGCGATGTTGCGGAGGTGGAGTCTACACGAGTTTGTTAAAGATTGGACTTGGGGCTGGAAGGATAGGTTGGAGTCCAGAATGACACCAAGTACTCTGGCCTGCGGGGCGGGTTTGATTGTGGCGTTGTTGGATGTGATGGAGAAGTCAATGGGGGGTGGTGTCCGGGCTGGGGGGAAGACAAGAAACTCAGTTTTGGAGAGGTTCAGTTTAAGGAAGTAGAGTGACATCCAGTCTGATATGTCACTCAGTAGGTGTGTGATTCGGGCAGAGACCGAGGGGGTGAGGTGAGGTGAGGATATAGGTGCTGCCATATAGGCTGGTGGCATGGGCATAGAGCATAGCAGGATCACAGATGGCAATTAGACGTTGGTAGAACCATTACTTTTGCCAGTACTATATCATATGTTGCCTTAGAAATGATACAGTTTACAATGTGTATTATGAATTCCTCATTAACTGACCATTACTGTTTCTTTCAGTTGGTTGTGTCCAGCGTAGAATAAGAACAGAACACGGCGATGAGATGCACATAATGTGTATTCCATGAGGTGGCATCCTTCTCTGTCAGACCAGCATATGTAGTAAAAGCAGTGTTTTTGTCATTGAGATCTCGAGTCTTGCTGCTCCCAACATGCTCCTCTATAGCTGCTGGTATACCTTCTGCTGGGATTGGTAGGTGCAAACGAGCCCCGAGATGTCACAGTAGGATGTGTGACCAGAAACCACCAAACCGAAAAGTTCATTAGTTCACTAGGCACATAGCATAGGCAAGGGATGGGGAAGGGGGGGGGTATTTATTGGTACCTCTTAGCTTGCTGAAGACACTCGCAATGTTTTCATGATGGATGGCATAGTACATATGTGTGACATTAAAGTTTACAAATGCAGAAGTTCCAATTTTCTGGTTCGTACAGGTCTGGGAAGTGTTTACTTGGGGTTATTGCCAAAGAGAGTACATTAAACTGAATATTTGCACCCCTAGTGTTAAGCCTCGTGCAGGGGCGGACTGACCATTTGGGCTCTTGGGCACTGCCCGAGGGCCCAGGATCAGTAGGGGGCCCCATGAAAAGCCCCTAGTACCATTCATAGGATTTTTTGGGTGTGGTTTGAGTGTTTGTGAGGACACAGGGGCCCCATGATCCCCTATTGCCCGGGGGCCCCATGAGTTGTCAGTCCGCCCCTGGCCTCGTGGCCTCGCTAGTGATGAGTGGGCATATCTTCCTATGACACCTATCAGTACAGACAAGCAGTCAATCAACTCGGAGTAATGCTGGCCATACACAGTTAGACAATCGCTTGATAATGCATTTGATGCGCTCGATCGTTCGACTTTCAAAATGTTAGTGGGCTCATTTTGGTTATCGAAATGCAAAGTGGATTTTAGATGTCGGATTTTTTGAGCAAAAATAAAAAATTTTCTAAACATTAGTAGTTGGATCGATCGAAAACAGTTTGAGAAAATCTACAGCGCATGCACGTGTTAAAATGTAACCCCGGACGTACAAGCAAAGAAAAGAAAGATCTTTCTTTTAAATATATTATTATTATACAGGATTTATATAGCGCCAACAGTTTGCGCCGCGCTTTACAATATAACAGGAGACAATACAATTACAATACATTTCAGTACAGAAGGAATAGGAGGGCCTTGCTCGTGGAGCTTACAATCTAAATATAGTTGGTGAGTGGGATGGTTCGCAAAGGTCAAAAAATCTTGACATCATTTCCACCGATGGACAAAAAATCCCCCATTTATTTTGTGAACGATCAAAAATATTCAACAATTGGGGGAAATATTTTGATACAATGATGACATTATCGCATGCACATTCAGTAGCTCTTTATAAATCCATCCTTTTTTTTGATTTTCAAACTGTGTACAGCCAGCTGAAGGCCCCTTTCAAACGGGGCGGATCTGTCAGCATGATCCGCCTGCTCAGTGGGGGAATCTCTGCGCTGAGCAGGCGGATGACAGGTCTTTGTCCACTCTGTTGCTGCAGAGCAGACACAGATACTGCCCACTGATTTGAATAGGATGGTCGGATGGAAATGCACCGCCTGTCATTTGATCCGATCCATCCGTCTGTATTTGACATACAGGATCGGATGCCGACGGGTGTCAGTTGTCTACTGACACCCGCCGGTTCATAGAAGTCTATGGATGGATGGATCGGGTCTGCCTGAAAAACAGACAGGTGGATCCCATCGGTCTACGCATGTGAAAGGGGCCTGACCCTAGGTTCAAATCTTTACGGGTGGTGCTGCTTTGGATCCGCACAAAAATCCGTGCAGCCGCACCACCTGCACAGAGAATTGTGGACCCGCGGGCGGGCGATATTAGTTCTAATGGCACGTTGCCCACACTGGGAAATGCAACCGTACTGCGAACCGAGGGTCCTGTGCGGGCTGTGTTTTCCAAAGAAGTGCAGGGACTTCTTTCGCTGCGTGTCCCGGGCACAGGAGTCCATTCAAATGAATGGGCTCTCGTACCCGAGCAAAACGCAGCCCTCACGGCTGCATAGGTGTGAACCTGGGGGTGAGACACAACTTCTTATCAGATCTGTTGGAGTCTTCAGACAGACATGATGTCCAGCAAGCTGTGGAAGGGATTTACTAAAACTGTGCATAGTAACCAATCAGCTTCCAGATTTTATTATCAAAGCTTAACTGAACAAGCTGAACTTAGGCTGGCCATACATTATACAATTTTCTTGAGAATTGTGCTTTAGATTTACCAAAAACAATGTAATATGAGATCAAACTTAACCACTTCCCATCCGGCCGTTGTATATAAACGGCCAAACGGTGGCAGTGCAGGGTCAGGTGGCTGTTTATAAACGGCTTTCCCGGCCCCCCCTGCTTGTGTGTGCTCCCTGGGAGCGTGCAGCACCGTGATCCGGTGCCCGCTGTGTCCTCAGGACACAGTGAAACACCAATCGTCAGACAGGACCTCCGTGTGAGGTCCCGATCATGTGATCACTGATTAGCCAATCAGTGATCACATGCAGAGTAGTAAGCAAGATGCCACTTCTGACATCATTGCTTACTATGTGTGAAATTTGTGAATGATCACAGAAGTCACATGGTACAAGGCCATTCACAACAGCCTTGTACCATGTGACAAGCTGTGGCCAATCACAGCTCACACAGTATTTCTCAATGGCTGCAGGAAGGCAGCTAGAGAGGAGAAATGATTGCTTTTATATTCTTTATGGGTGTGAAAGCAATCAGTGTAAAAAAAAAAATCTTTATCACCTCCCACAAGTAGTACAGTGTCACCATGGTGACACTGTACTGCTAGGGTGACAGTATGTAAATAAATAAATAATAATAATATAAAAAAAATTAAAAAAATGTAAAAGAAATGTTTAAAAATTATAATTTTTGGTTATAAACTAATTTGGGTTATTTTTTTTTTTACTAAAAATATAACAGAATACATTTTGGCAAAGATTTATGATGAAATATTATTTATTTGCAAAATGTTATAAGAAAAACACTTTTTTTCAAATTTTTTGGACATTTTAATTTACATAGCAAAAAAAATAAAAATCCCAGCGGTGAATAAATACCACCAAAATAAAGCTTTATCTGTCTCAAAAAAATGCTAAAAAATGCATATGGGTACAGTGTTGCATGACCGCGCAATTGTCATTCAAAGTGTGATAGCGCTGAAAGCTGAAAATTGCCCTGGTCAGGAAGGGGGTGAAAGTGTCCGGACAGGAAGGGGTTAAACAACACTTTCAATAGTATCCAATTAGGTGGGCCCTTGCACTACATAGTTGAAGGTAAATCTAAAGGAAATTGGGCAGAAAATTGTAAGAAATTGTATAATGTGTGGCCAGCCTTAGAAGCTGATTGGTCACTATGCACAGATTTTGTGTGCACCAGTTTTAGTGAATCTCCCCCATTGCATATTGTCAGTGAAAGCCAAAAAATATCATCCAAGGCAGGATATAACAGCCAGCAGCACTAGTTATGGGTAAAGGGAAAATAATGAGTTGTGGTCCAGGACATGCCCTTTAAACCAAGGCAGATCAGACGGTTCTGTCACTGCTTTAAATGTATTTGGCCTCATTTTGGATGTCGCTGTCAAGCCGTGTTGACCTGTAGAATGTATTTAGTATTTCCTAATGGAAATAAATGTCCAATAAATACCTGTGTGGTGCCTTGTCTTTCTTTTGTGTCCTGTTCTGACCCCACAGGGCCGCCATTGAGATTCCAGGGGAACCGCCGACCTCCATATTGTATTTCCTTCCTTTTCAATATTCCTCTTTATAGGGCCATTACCATCACTACGACTGTCGTGTTTGATGATCACATTTTTAATATTTTCTATATTGACATTAAAATGCATAAAGTTACTCTGGAAGGAAATCCCTGAAGATGGAATCTGGCTAATTATTTATTACAGGTACTTATATAGCGCCATCAATTTACTACGCGCTTTACATATATATATATATTGTACATCCACATCAGTCCCTAACCCTCAAGGGGTGTACAATCTAAGGTCCCTAACTCACATTCATACATACACATACTAGGGACAATTTAGACAGGATCCAATTAACCTACCAGCATGTCTTTGGAGTGTGGGAGGAAACCGGAGTACCCGGAGCAAACCCACGCAGGCACAGAGAGAACATGCAAACTCCAGGCAGGTGGTGCCATGGTTGGTATTTGAACCAACGACCCGAGTACTGCCAGGCAGAAGTGCTAACCATTTAGCCAATGTGCTGCCCGTAATTGCTCACTTGCCTTTAAGTCTCTGTAATTGTACCTTGGGGGTCAAAGGTCACGCCCCCAAATGGTCTTATGGAGAACCGTATGGTGAGGGCCGTGATTTTTACATAAGTGGTTTATCTTATGGAAGAAGTAAAATTTTGTGGTTTCCAACAGCTAGAAAATACCTGACTCTCTAGAGCACAGGTGTCAAACACAAGGCCCGCGAGCCAAATCCGGCCCTCCATGCCATTTCATGTGGCCCTTGCACCTCTCCTGCAGGTACCCTCTTGTCTCCACCCCCACCTTGTCTCATTAGTCAGTAGCAGAGAGGAGAATAGGACTCCTCTGCCAAATCCTGCACCTCTCAGTGCAGCTGCAGCACCCCCTCAGTGCAGCTGCAGCACCCCCTCATCTCTGCCTCCCCTGGTCTCAGCACTCAGCAGGCTCTGGTAACTGACTCCACTCCTCCTCTGGTCCTCCTCCAGACCCTGCACTTTCTGTTTCCCAGCTTTGCCCACAAAGGGGGTGCCCGGTGATGTTAGGCAGGGTGTGGGATTCTTGACATCTGATGTAATGGATGGTGGGGTGCTCTGGACATCTAGTCTTACAGATAGAACTGGCCCTTTGAGGGCAACCATAATGCTGATACGGCCCGTGATGAAATGGAGTTTGACACCCCTGCTCTAGACCACAGCAGTTGAAGGTGCAAATCTGACCCTTCCATTGCAGTATTTAGAAGAAGAGCCACATGAGGGCGCAGCAGGGCTGTCTGTAGTCATTTTCTGGCTGCTCTGCATCTTCTTCTTTGACTTGAACATCACATCCCAGCAGACACAATATAATACATTGAGCTGCTTTTTAAAAAAATGCACAAAAATAAAGAAATTAATTTCTGAAGCAGCAGGCAAAAATTCTCCATGATGCATTTCTGGTGCGTTGGTCTGCAGTTTACCCATAAGGTCAATAGATGCGTTCGCTTCGAGTGACCAGCGTTATGGTGAGACAAGACCCATGTCATAAATACCGAGGACTGGTGCAGCATGCGTTAAGAGTGTTTGTTCTGGGACTTGTAGTTCTTCATTAGCCGTAGGACCTCAAGATCACTCATGATGGGGTATATATGGAGCAGGGGAGGACTGACAACTCATGGGGCCCCTGGGCAATAGGAGATCATGGGGCCCCTGTATCCTTGACCACACTCAAAACACACAAAAAAAAGCCTATAAAAGGTACCAGGGGCATCTCATGGGGCCCCCTACTGACCCTGGGCCCTCGGGCAATGCCGGAGTGCTCTAATGGTCAGTCCGCTCCTGATATGGAGTTGACATTATGAAGGGCTGGCGGATGCAGCAGCGGAATGCAACAATCTATGGAGTCTATTTACTAAGATCAAGAGTGACAAACCCAACATTTCCATTGGTTAGACACTTGGGGGGAGATTTCAAAATCATGCGATGTTCATTGCAACTTTAATGTGACTTTGGTTGAGTGCAACTTTGATGCGACTTTGGCTTTGACAGAAGATAACTGTTTCTGCTACAAAGTTGCACACAAGTCACATGTACAACATTCAGGTGAGACTTTCATGCGACTTTAGAGGGTTTATATGAAGTCTATGGCCCTTAAGTCGCCTGAAAGTAGGACCTAAGTAATGCAGGAACCACTTAGATGTCGCTGTGACTTGAAGTCGCACAGATATGAATGGTACCCATTAGGTAACATGGTGGGGGGCAGGGGCGGACTGACCATTTGGAAACTCGGGCACTGCCCGAGAGCCCAGGGTCAGTAGGGGGCCCCTGGTACCTTTTTCATAGGCTTTTTTGAGTTTGGGCAAGGACACAGGGGCCCCATGATTCCCTATTGCCCGGGGGCCCCATGAGTTGTCAGTCCGCCCCTGGAGGGGGGTGATTTTTCATGGACCCCAAAATCGCATGACAAGTTGCATAAGCATGCATGGAGCCTAACTAAAACTGGTGCACCCAAAATCTGGTGCAGCTGTGCGTGGTAACCAATCAGCTTGCAGGTTTTATTGTCAAAGTTTAATTGAACAAGTTGAAGTAAAGCCGGCCATACACGGGTCGAATTCTGAAAGAATTTTCTTTAGAAAATCTTTTCTAAGAATTTTTGTTCGAATTTCGCGCCATTAGTGGGTCACAGAAACAGCCGATTTTCATGTGAAAATCGAATTTGAGTGATCGGAAATTTTTTGAAAAACTAACAAATTTCGAATCAATGATGGGAGAATCGTGCAAGAAATATGAAGCAGTGACCTGGAAAGAAAAGAAAATTCTTGGCCACGAAAATTCTTTTCTGTAGCAACATGAGGAAAAATTGAAGGCTTGGTTGGTTGAATTTTGAAATCAATGGTGGCACCATCGCATTACAAAACGCACAAAATTTTCGATTTTCTAAGGACAATTTTTTGGAATTTGACCCGTGTATGACCTGCATCAGGGGCGGACTGACAACTCATGGGGCCCCCGGGCAATTGGGGATCATGGGGCCCCTGTGTCCTTGCCCAAACTCAAAAAAGCCTATGAAAAAGGTACCAGGGGCATCTCATGGGGCCCCCTACTGACCCCAGGCCCTCGAGCAGTGCCCGAGTTTCCAAATGGTCAGTCCCACCCTGACCTGCATTAGAATCGGATTGGTTACTATGCACAGCTGCACTAGATTCTGTCTTCTCCGGCTTTAGTAAATCGCCCCCCCCCCCCGCCCCGGGGGACTATTCAGAAACTATTCACACAACTTTCACCCAGGATTCACACATTTTTCAAAACAAATCGAATTTGAAAATGTGTGAATCTTGTTAGGACTTTATAAAAACTTTTATCAATAGAGCCTTAAGTGTTCTGCAATCTTTTAGGGTTTTCCATTGTTACATTTTACTCTTACTGAATATTTGCAGGGTGTCACACATTTCGTGTCTTTCCATTTCCACGCTTTCCTCAATCATTGTTCCCTAGATAACTGAGATTGAAGTTCCTTTTCTCTTTAAAGTGCAACTCTGGGAAAAAACGTTTGAATTAGTTTAGGACACAGTGGATGGGGGGGGGGGGGGGGGGGGGGGTGCCAGGCTTCTGTCACCATTGGGGAGCTTTTCCCTTCACTTCCTGTGTGGTCACTGTAACAGGAAGTACACCACATCTCTCCAACAGGAGACAGACGATCTGTCACTCCTCCCTCTTGTCCATTTATTTGACGTGAATGTGTGATGGCTATAAGTTAGGTGGGGGATGCAAATGAAGGCTTTTATTCCTGTCCGTTTCTCCACTGTGGACACCCCCTCCTACTGGGACAAGCAAATCAGGAAACAGGTTACACCCTTTCCCTTTTCCATCCAAAACCATAAAATAGGTTGTAGCTGGAGTTGGGTTCTAAGCCACAAATAGAGAGACCCCCAATGCCACTAGGACAATGGTAACCCTCTTCTTGGCCCCTTTTCTGTGAGCAGTGGATCTAATGAGTCTTTGTCCTATAGGCTGAGAATGTGCAGAGTGCAGGATGCACAACAGCCAATCACATTTTGAGTTTGATTCCAGACTGGGCACCTTTGGTTTGGTTTTGCACATTTGTCTTGTTAGGACTTTGAGTCCATTTTCTTCAGTTGAGGATTGAATTGCTTAAATGGGAACCAAATGGTGCTTAATATTAACCATTTTGCAGGTCAATGGTAAGGATCAGCCAACGGCCATGATACTACGAGTCCCAGCATCTCCTTGTAGGCACGTTATGCTAGGGCATATAGTTCCTGCAGGCTAAAAAACTATGGTTGTATGCCCAGTTTAGACTTTTAAAGAGTACCTGTTGTGTACAACCAAGAGAAACATCAAAGCAAAGTTATACAGAATGAGATACAAGGAATATTATAAACCACGGGGTATGAGATGCACTTGAAGCACTATAGAACCCACTTAGGAAGCCATTTGTACTGGAGGAAAGTCTTGCAAACTACTTATCACTGTGCTGACCACGATGGAGAGCAGAGGATTCTGGGGAACGGACAGTTAGTGGGGTCTGACATAGACTCAGGATGAGACCTACAGATCCGTTCCTCTTATGTACTGTGCCGTCTACTCATCTTCCTCAGTAATGCACCCAGAAGGGGCGATATTATAAAGCCGCGCTCTATTCTGGGCCCCCGTCATATATAGGCATGCTTCTGGATTTAGTGTCCCCCTCTTGGAATGCCGTGACTCACAAGGAGGAAATATAAGACACTTTATTAAAAATATATCAGGGATCAACTCTTAAGAGTCTTGCCAGGATTCGGACCCAAGCATTGGCATGTAACTTAAGTCTCAACAACTGTGCAGAAAAGCTGGGCTAAAAATAAGAGAAGTATGAAGAAGAAGAATTTTTCCTGTAAGACTCTCCTCCTCCTACGATGGCGATGGCATTTGGCCCCCACGCTGAAAAATCCAAATTTCATCCCAAAATGATGAGTTCTAGAAGTGCTCAGTGACCGTGGGTATTACTAAATGTGCACCTTTTTATTAAAGGGCGACTAACAGGAATGATGTGGACAAGTTTCTAGAGGTGGATCCCTTGGTTACCTCTCCTCCACAATATATACATCAATCAGCCATAACATCACAGACAGGTTAAGGGAATGACAAGGGCATCTGAAAGTTGGCGTGATATGTTAGGCAGCAAGTAAACATGTTCATAAAGTTGATGTGTTGAAAGCAGAAAAAATGGACATCACAGTTTGTTGTGTATGGGGCTGCATAGCCACAGATCAGTCAGGGTGCCCATGCTGAGCCTTGTCCACAGCCTAATGTGTCTACAATAGTAACATGAGCATCAGAACTGGACCACGGAGTAATGGAAGAAGGTGGCCTGGTTTAATAATTGCCATCTTCTTTTACATCATGTGGATAGCCGGATGTGTGGCTTACCTTGGCAAGGGATGACGCAAGGATGCAGTATGGGTAGAAGGCAAGCTGTGATGCTTTGACCAATGTTCTGCTAGGAAACCTTGGGTCCAGGGGCGGACTGACCATTTGGAAACTCGGGCACTGCCCGAGGGCCCGGGGTCAGTAGGGGGCCCCATGAGATGCCCCTGGTACCTTTTTCATAAGCTTTTTTGAATTTGGGCAAGGACACAGGGGCCCCATGATCCCCTATTGCCCAGGGGCCCCATGAGTTGTCAGTCCGCCCCTGCTTGGGTCTTGCTGTTTATGTGGATCTAACTTGACACGTACCACCTACCTAAATATTGCTGGTGACCAAGTACACCCCTTCATGGAAATGATATTTATTGATGGCAGTTGCCTCTTTCAGCAGGATAATGCACCCTGCCACAATGCAAAAATGGGTCAAGAATGGTTTGAGGAAAAAACAATGAGTTCAAAATATTAACTTGGCCTCCAAATTGTCCAGATCTCAATAAGTTGAGAATCTGTGGGATGTACTGGAAAAACAATTTGATCCATGGAGGTCACACTCTCAAACTTACGGGACTTAAAGGTTTTAATGCCACAATATTTACAAATATATGTGGAAGCTGAACCTCCTCATCAAGGTCCCTGTGTACAGAGCAGTTCTAACTCTAGTCTCTTAGATTGTAAGCTCCCAGGATCAGGCCCTCCTAACCCTCTTGTATTGAACTGTATTATTGTTGTATTGTCTCCCGTTATATTGTAAAGCGCTGAGCAAACTGTTGGCGCCATAAATCCTGTATAATAATAATAATAATAATAATAAATATAAAAAATCCTGTATAATAATAATAGTCTGTGAGAGATTCCATGTTGGAGCTTATATAGCATTGGATAAATTAAGGACTGGCATGTCTGGAGGGAGCCCATTCCTCCTTAAACGTGCAGGGACACACCAGAAACCCAGCAAAACACAAAGCTAGCTCAAGGCATCCAATGCTGGCTGTGTTAATTCCAGTTAAACAAAAATGGCAACCGCCACCGCAACTGCCCAACCGTCCCAATTTGTAACTATATGCATATAGCAAACAAAATACATTTCTCAGCACAGTTTATATATATATACACTATATTGCCAAAAGTATTGGTCGGCCAGCCTTTCCACGCACATGACCTTTAATGGCCCCCCAGTCTTAGTCCGTAGGGTTCAATATTGAGTTGGCCCCGCCCTTTGCAGCTATAACAGCTTCAACTCTTCTGGGAAGGCCGTCCACAAGGTTTAGGAGGGTGTCTATGGGAAGGTTGGACCATTCTTCCAGAAGCACATTTGTCAGGTCAGGCACTGATGTCGGGGGAGGAGGCCTGGCTCACATTCTCCGCTCTAATTCATCCCAAAGGTGTTCTATGGGGTTGAGGTCAGGACTCTGTGCAGGCCAATCAAGTTCCTCCACCCCAAACTGGCTCCTCCATGTCTTTATGGACCTTGCTTTGTGCACTGATGTGCAGTCATGTTGGAACAGGAAGGGGCCATCCCCAAACTGTTCCCACAAAGTTGGGAGCATGAAATTGTCCAAAATGTCTTGGTATGCTGACGCCTTAAGAGTTCCCTTCACTGGAACTAGGGGGCCAAGCCCAACCCCTGAAGAACAACCCCACACCATAATCCCCCCTCCACCAAACTTTACATTTGGCACAATGCAGTCAGGCAAGTACCGTTCTCCTGGCAACTGCCAAACCCACACACGTCCATCAGATTGCCAGACAGAGAAGCGTGATTAGTCACTGCAGAGAACACGTCTCCTCTGCTCTAGAGTCCAGTGGCGGCATGCTTTACACTGCGGCATCTGACGCTTTGCATTGCACTTGGTGATGTAAGGCTTGAATGCAGTTGCTCGGCCATGGAAACCCATTCCATGAAGCTCTCTACGCACTAGTCTTGTGCTAATCTGAAGGCCACACCAAGTTTGAATGTCTTTAGCTATTGACTCTGCAGACAGTTGGCGACTTCTGCGCACTGTGCGCTTCAGCATGCGCTGACCCCCCCGCTCTGTCATGTGATGTGGCCTACCACTTGGTGGCTGAGTTGCTGTTGTTCCCAGTTGCTTCCACTTTGTTATAATCCCACTAACAGTTGAGCGTGGAATATTTAGTAGCCAGGAAATGTCACGGATGGACTTATTGCCCAGGTGGCCACCTATCACGGGACCACGCTTGGAGTCACTGAGCTCCTGAGAGCGACTCATTCTTTCACCAATGTTTGTAGAAGAAGTCTGCATGCCTAGGTGATGATTGTATACACCTGTGTCCATGGAAGTGATTGGAAAACCTGAATCCAATGATTTGGAGGGCGGGGCCAATACTTATGGCAATATAGTGTATATATGTATATATATATATATATATGCTTAGATTGTAAGCTCCCAGGATCAGGGCCCTCCTATCCATCTTGTATTGAACTGTATTGTTACTGTATTGTCTCCCTGTATATTGTAAAGTGCTGAGCAAACTGTTGGCGCTATATAAATCCTATATAATAATAATAATAGACAGTGTAGACACCTGAATGTGACCTAAAATCAGTGACATTACATCAATATATATATATATTTAGTACCTGAATATGTCTGGTACAGGGGCAGACTGACGTTACTTCAGGGTTGTTACTCCGTGGTACAGACGGGTGGAATAATGGTTCTGTGCATCTCTGTCACACTATTGACCAGGGACGGACTGACAACTCATGGGGACCCCGGGCAATAGGGGATCATGGGGCCCCTGTGTCCTTGCCCAAACTCAAAAAAGCCTATGAAAAAGGGGGCATCTCATGGGGCCCCCTACTGACCCCGGGCCCTCGAGCAGTGTCCGCGTTTCCAAATGGTCAGTCCGCCCCTGGTCTGGTATCAGCCTCTTGCAGTCTTTATGGAGCAGGGCTGCAGTGTGAGAGGAAGAAGCAGCACAAGAAGCCAGTCAGTTCATGTGCTGACAATGAGCGTGCTGATAGGAGGAGAGAGCAGGGTGACACAGTGACTTCACAGTGATTTCACTGACTGGGGTGAGTTCAGGATGACCTGGGAAGGAAGTGGGCCGAATGATGTTGACCATCAGACATCTAATGGCAGAAAAGTTAAAGTAGGGAAAAAATCTGGATCAAAGCTAAATAGCGCAGCAAAAGATGATTTTGTAATTTTGTCTTTTAAAGAGATATTACATTTTACTTTGTTATTTTTGCTTGACTGTCAGAGACTGTAAACCGCTGATTACGCCAATGCCTGATCTACTTGCCATCTCAGTAGGGTGGGGGATGGGGGGATTATACAGGAACATGTCAAACCTGAAGGTGGAGAACAAGAAAGTAATACATTTGAGGTGATGACTTCCTGACTGCTTATCTCAGAGTGCTTTAAAAGCTCAACTCCAGGGATCAGCAAACATTGTCTAAATACATCCCTCATGTGTATTCTTCTTGGATCTCGGTGAGCTTTGTTTATTTCTTCCAGATCTGTGCAGTTATCCAGCATGAAACTTCTTGGAATAAAGACCGATCACTGCTGTTCTCTCTCCTTGTGCAGGGTGACTGGTCTTGTCTCCGCCCCTCCTGTACTTTTCTGCAGGCAGCCTGTCATGGGTGGAGCCTTCTAGGCCCCTCCCACAGCTCTGCACAGGCTATGTACATCACAGTGATGCTACTTTTACAAGGTAATATCTAAGTTTGCAAAAGCATTTAGTGCAAACAAGGGGAATTATTTCCTTTGCGGCTATCGAGGAATACATTTAAAAGAACATTTTTGTGTCTGGAGTTCAGTTTTAATTTTTCTTTCTGAGCCTTCTTTAGCCTAAATTGGCCATCAGCATGGGACAACGGGGTCCCGGAATGTAATTAGATTCCATACAGGAAGCAGCAGCATCCAGAAGAAGATAAACCGAGGGACAGCCAGTGTCCAGCCATACAATATCCACATGAAGAGGACGCTCTGACACAGACGGAGTATTTTAATCTCGTGTTGGGCGGATTCCCATCTATAATTCTCATCTTGCTGCTCTTTCACGGATCTCAGATTAGATGATTAGATGAAGCGAATATCTCACATCCCATTCATTTCTGTGCTGCACACAGGACGTCTGGCAGAGTTCTCCCGATAATTTGTCTACATGAATTGGGCGCCTTTTAGTGAATTTGATTGATTATCACAACCAATTAGATCCGCATTGGAAATTTTCAGCCAATTACAACAGTTTAGCGCTGGTTTCTGGCTCCGTGTCACACACACAATTCACAGGCAGTGGGCGCTAGATGCCAAGAGCGAGGCGCTAATAACGGGGCTGACCATTAATAAGTACTTTTTAATAGGAACTTGATCAAATTAATTATTCCGAGGGACACAGGAAGGCAGCATGATGACAGGACAGATTCAGCTTTAGGAATTGCTTCACGGCAAGAAAGGGTAGTTTTATGTTTAAAAATTGACGAGAGAACATCCAATAATTGTACCGGCTACAGAGGGACATGTGATAGAGAAAGAGAGAAGAGAGGAGGATAGAGGAGGAGAGAAGATAAGAAGAGAGAGGAGGTCAGAGAATAGAGAGAGGAGAGTGGAATGATAAAAGAAAGGGGGTAAAAATGGAGAGAATGGAGCACAGGAGAGGAGGGAGGGAGGGTATTGAAGGAGGGGTGAGGGGTGAGGGGCGAGGGGAGGAAAGTAGAAAGGGAAGGAGGGAGGAGAGGAGAGAGAAGAGGAAAGGAGTGAAGGGAAGAGAAAGAAGTAGAAGAGAGCAGAGGAGAGTAGAGAAAAAAAAGAGGACACAGGAGAGGTAGAATAGAGGGGAGGATAAGAGAAGAGGAGAAGAGAAGAGAAGAGGAGAGAGAAGAGGAGAAACAGGAGAGGTAGAATAGAGGGGAGGATAGAGAAGAGGAGAAGAGAAGAGGAGAGAGAAGAGGAGAAACAGGAGAGGTAGAATAGAGGGGAGGATAGAGAAGAGGAGAAGAGAAGAGGAGAGGGGAGAGAAGAGGAGAGAGGAGAGAGAAGAGGAGAGCAGAGAGGAGAGGAGAGGAGAGAGTAGAGAGAAGAGGAGAGAGAAGAGGAGAGAGGAGAGGAGAGAGAAGAGGAGAGGAGAGAGAAGAGGAGAGCAGAGATGAGAGGAGATGAGAGAGTAGAGAGAAGAGGTGAGAGGAGAGAGA